GCTTGGGATTCTCTCTTTTCCTCTCCTCTCCTCTCCTCTCCTCTCCTCTCCTCTCCTCTCCTCTCCTCTCTTTCCTCTCCTCTCTTTCCTCTCCTCTCCTCCCTTTTCTCCCCCCCCACCTGTTCTATCTCTCTTTCAAATAAAAATTAAATATAATAAAATAATTTAAAAATAAAAAATAATTTAGAAAAAGAGAGAGGATAAGTGGATCAATCACCTTTCAAAGTCATTTCCTAACAGTCATATGACAAAACCTGACACAATATATTATTTCTTTCATTTTTTTATCCAATTAAATTTTAATGTAGTAGTAGCAAATTAGAATGTAGTAACATTAAAATATTTGGTTACATAGGACAGATTTCTAAAACTTTGAACATCATAATTCCAGTAGAATTTCCCAAATTGTTACCATGGTACAGTACAGACAAAGGCACATTTACAGAATAGTAGTCTATTGCAAAGGAAACATAAAATATCCAGGCATAAAGCAAAATAACAGTTAAATAACACAAAAATCATTTAAGAATGAGGGGAAACCTGGGTAGCTCAGTTTAAGTGTTTGACTCTTGATTTTGAGATCAATCCCCATGTAGGGCTCCTTGCTGGTCATGGGGCCTGCATAAGGTTCTCTGTCTCCCTCTCTAAACCTCTCCCCCTCTTGCTTATGCTTTAGGTCTTTCTGTCTCAAAAACAGAAACAAAAACAAAATCAAAAACAAAAACAAAAACAAAAAAGAACCACCTATTGTGATCAGTTAAGTTGATATCTCCAGAATTAAAAAAGCTAATTATTACTAGAGTCAATATGGCCATCACTTGCTACAGGAGATTAGAAAACATTCAAATCAAAGAGAATTGCTTGTTTCCACTCCCTCCATGTATACTTATCCCTCTCCTTCCTCACCAATTTTGATTTTCTGGTAACAAATGGTCTTTCACTCTATATGAGAGAAGTATCCAGTGGAAAAATGGCATTTCCATATCTTTTATGATTTTTTTTTGTACTTTTGAAAACAAATTGCTTGATTTCTCATTACATTTCTGACAACTTCATTATAATCCTTAGCTGTTCAATGATTTTACCAAAAGAAAATTCTCAGAGGAGTTATTCCATTTTGTGTCTTCTAGCATGGAAAAGGAAGGGACATGACAGAAATTACTAGAAAAAAGGTGTTTCTAGAAGTCTGGAGCTATTGCCTGAAATATAGACTCCTATTCTCTGTCTGGAGAATAGAGAATAGACAGAGAACAGAATAACACTTTGTCTTGAACGAGTGCTATTCCTGTCAAATCTAGGAGAAAAGTTAAATATATGAGATCAGAATAGATAGCCAGTTCTAGTAAACTTTAGTTCAAACCTGAAACAATTTAAACACAGCTTTAACTTGTTTTCAGATATTATTTTAAAAATATATCAATAATTAGTTGATGAAACTAATAACATAATAGGGGCATCAGAAATTCTGTTTCTATAATGAATAATAGGAATCACAGAAGATACCCCATTCAGTGAAAGTAAATGCTATTTAACACATTTTTCTTCTTTTCTGAAAATGATGGATGACAGCATCAGAACTTCAAGAAGTAGAGGTAATTCTGTGAAAATCAGTAAAAAAGAGTCAAATTTTGCTATCAATCATGTATATGTTCTAAGTATTCCCATTAACATACACAATCTGATCAAAGTTTTGGCTTTCCAGCAGGTCTCCTTAAATTATATTCACAACACCTCAAATTTTTGTAGTGTTTAGTTTCAATTTAAAATAATTTGAAATTAAACTGGTGGGTGGGTAAAGATTGAAATGCAAAGCAATGCAGGCCATAAGGTAAAGTTAAGTTTGAACTTTTTGCTTTTGCTATAGCATCTTATTATAAATATGCTTAAAATGAAGTCTTTGTCTTTGTTGAATGATATGGGAAACTGTGGAAGTTCTATGGGGGCAATTAAAATAAAGAGAAATCCAAAAATACCATTGGATTTGAGGTATCCAGAAAATGAATGGAAAAGTTTTTGGTTTTGCTTTGGTTTGTTGATGTCATCATTGCTATAAATTTACCACTTATTGCATTTCCACAGGGTTTTTTAGAACAAGAGATAAAAGGATACTTTCCAGAAGCATGTTTGTTGGACAAGAGCTAGAGTGAATTATGACTATAGTCTATACAAACATACAAAAATCCACTATACTTCCTTCTTCTCACTCCTTTCTTGGGAATATCTAAACTTTTTTAAAGTTTATTTACTTTTGAGAGAGAGTGAGCACAAGCTGGAGAGGGGCAGAGGGAAAGGGAGAGAGAGAGGGAAAGAGGACGAGAGAGAGAGAGATAGAGACAGAGAGAGACCCAAATAGGCTCCATGCTGTGAGCATGTTGTCATTTATTTTTAGACTTAACTATAAGTTTTATAGTTTTTCTTACTCAATTATTACTTTTGAAATTCACAGTTTTTTCTTATACTCATTTTTTAAAATTTTGCTGGAACTTATACATTAGTAAATCTTTGTGAGAAATTCTGTGGATGGTAAACTTAATGAAACTTTACTGGTCTTAGTATTAGTTTGCATGTCTGGTTCAAAATTATTTTCCTGTAGAAATTTTGAAGAAGTTGTTCCCTATTTTCTTGCATTCACTGTTACTGATGGAAGGTCAATAGACTGAATTGATGAAGAACAAAGTAGGTTGATTCTTGAGTTTATTTGTTTATTTTGTGAATGTTTATTTTTGAGAGAGACGGACAGAGTGTGAACAGGGGAGGGGCGGAGAGAGAGAGAGACAGAATCCAAAGCAGGCTCCAGGCTCCAAGCTATCACCACAGAGTCCA